GTGCAAAACAATTCCTACACCAGGTGCGATAGAACACATCACACCTTTAAAGAGTTCTAAGTGACCATTAAACCAGTGTTATCAAAAAGTCCCCAAGTGCATCAGATTGAAACAGAACCATTTGGGTCCAAAAAGATAGCCACGTCCAGATACAGCAAGAGCTATACTCCCTGATTTTTCAGCTTCTCAGATGCTTTTTCATCCCCTCTGCCATCAGCTGCAGGTAAAGCTTGCCTTACCTGAGTAAGGAGGTCAGCACACTGAAGAGTGAAGAAGATGCTATACTTTGTCTACCTACCCCTGAGAGATCAGCAGGTCCTTCATCCCCCTGGGTGTGCACGAGTATTATCTGGTTGCCTTTGTAGGTTAGGAGCCCCACCTGAGCTGGCCAAGTTCAGGTCAGACATGCTGTCGCTGCAGTAAATCAGGGTTGATCTGGCTGAGTTAACAGGAGTTCATAATAATGTGGGGGGGAGGCACTGGCAAATGGCAGCTCCCTTGCTCTCCACCCCAGCAAGCCCAGAAGTAATTCAGTCCCGATTAGGGATGCTTGTTCAATATTCAAAATGTAAAACATGGAGGTTGCTGAACCAGCACTTTGAAAAGTTAATTAAATGCCAGGTTTCTTTTTAGCAGATACTCCATCACTCGCTGATTGCTTTGGCCATTTTGCGGAGTGAAGTTTCATCTCTATGCGTTGAGAATAAATATTCTCCCTCCCTTGAAGTCAGGGTGCTATGACAAGGAATACATGGGGCTCTCCCCTACCACATGCACTGTCCCAGGACACACAAAAACCTAAGAGAAGTTATTTTATTGCCTTGCACTGCTCTTTTCAAAGTACTTCCATGAGATGGGATAGGCTTCTCCTCATCCGCTCTCTGTTCTAGCAGGCCATGGTCCTCATCTAGTTCTTCTGTGAATAATCTACTCTTATAAGAGCAAGGAGCAGGGCACAGAGGATGTCTAGCTGTAAGGAGACGAAAGCTCCTTGTCTCCACTGCTCTCCCTGGAGCTTAAAGTTTGTGAGAAGCTAAAGATTACACTGAATCAGTGATCTGAGCCCAGTAATATCCACTGCTATATTCAGAATTGCGGCCGCGTAGGTGACATCTGCATCTGGGCTTATAGCTACATGTGCACCCTTCCATTTATCACATGAGACAGAAATGCAATGGAGCCAGGGAATTTAGGAGAGAGCTCTTTCAGTGAGGAGCAATTGTCCAGCTCCATCCTTCTCCCCAGTGGTAGTGCAAAGCACTTTTTGTGAACCCCCCCAATACTATAGAGAAAGAAAGGAATGATTCCAGAGAACCCATCACCAGCTCTCACTGGAGTTTAGAATCTGAGAAGACAGAGATAGAAAGACGACGCAAGATTTATCCTATTTTATTCCTTCCTTCTGCCTTCACAGAACTTTTTCCCACACCCTGTCTTCAGGGCATTGCCCTCACTGAGCTGAAATATCTAAAATGATGGCTTTGCACAGCCTTGCACAGTGAGATGATTTCCTGGAAGTTCAATCTAACCTCTTCTTAGCACGATCCTGTAACTCTTGATAACTGTCCAGCCTCAAATAACACTCTCTTTTCCTCAGTACTCACACTCTTACATCTTTGCTCATCTCCTGTACCCAGGCAGGAGTGAAATACTCCACATGTTTATACTTCCCGGGAGAGAGTCACTCCTGCTACCCCTGTAAGCAATTTCTGTTTCTTTTTCCTGAGGTCCCTGTCATGACAGATACCCATGTGGCCCACAGGGAAGGCAGTCATATGTTAGTCCTAGAGGCAGAGACTGCTTCACTCATGTCCCCAGACTTAAAGCTTTCCCAACTTCTCCTAGTTATGTTAGCAAATTACTTATTCAGGGCAATAAGCAAATACTTCATTATGAAATAGCTGCACTATATTGGAAAAAATAGTAATTTGGGGAAAAAATTCATAAATCAGGAGGGGAGAATCTGACCCAGAACCCGGATGTTAGAACACTGGGCTCCGATCAAACAAGACAGTTCACTCCTTTATCTAGGGCAAGCTAAAGCCCCACTGTCGCCCCTCCCAGGAGAACACCCTAGTCCCAATGCCACAGGGTCTGAAGGTGGCAGTGGGTGACGCCAGGCTCTCATGCTGACAGTACTGTGATTTATACAGAGCACTTAAATACCAATGGCACTGGAGCAGGAGCTAGAAATGACTGTTGTTCTGGTTAGATGAGACATCTGCTTCCAGTCACTAGCACTAGATATGTTTATTAATATATGATTTGGAATAGCATTATTTGATGAAACTTGCATGTCAAACCAGTTGATAAGCTCATGGGTAGAGAACTATCTGGGAAGTATAGTACAAAACTTCTGGAGCACAGGAAGGAGTTACACGTTTTTATACTTGCGGTGGCCTTAATGACTGAGCTATTATGTAAAGAAGATACCAACCAGCCTACTATTTCCTTCCTTTTTTTCATGAAGCCTTGAACCTGAAGGCTTCCTTTCATTTTGTTTCATGCCAAATTACTTTTACATTCCTTGTTTCACATTGGAAAAAAAAATCACAAAATATTTTTGGTTAGTTCCTGACTAATGTTTTGCTTTTTTGGCCCAATTTGGCCCTACCTAACAAAGTCACCCAGACATAAAAGACAAGCTGTGCACTGTGTCCTAAGGTCCCTGTGTCCCTACTTCAAGGCAGTAAGGGAAGAAAGTCATTAACAGATCCTGAAAGGTGCCCTACCTCCAACTCTGTCCATTCTATATGCTTAGCCAAGGGTTAAGCTACACATGGAGATACCTGCAGAACCAGTCACCTGTGTGTCTCCTTGTTCTCCAGGTGCTACAGAAAGCCCCACAGGCATTCTCCGTGAAGTTACCACATTGCTCTAAGCATCATGGAGCACCCCATCCTAAGAACTGGCTCAGCTTATCAATACCAATTGCATCATGTTGAGACCAACATTTCATCCTTCAGGAACACCAGGCCTGGATACACAGCATCCTCTTCATTCACCACAAGGTCACAGCTTTCTAGTGGTGAGTGAAAGCAGAAATGGAAGAAACCAGACTGTAAACTCAAGCCAGCATAGACAGACTTCCTACCCTTTTCTCACGTTCTCAGCAACAAGAAGTGCACTGCCCTGGTTTGTTTGCTCCAGCAGGAGGCACAGCCCAGGGAGGGCTGCAACAAGTGCCTACAAAGTGCACAACGTGTATGAACTATACATACACTCGCTCAAGTAAGGGCAAACAAAACAATAAAATCCTGGGAGCAGTGCTCAGAAACGCATTCAGTCGGCTGTATTATACACCAGACACCTCCAGCTTTGTGAGACTGTGATACCTCTGTTTCTTTCATTTCTTCTGATAAGCTCATTGCATCTGGAGGACCAAAGAACATGGACTGACCCCATCACCCAGACAGCTCCATTTAAAACTCTTCCACTGGAAGGCTATCTGTGCTCCCAAACATACCCAAAACCCTGGAGTATTCTATCTGGCTTTGGCCAGCTGCTGATGCCCTTTCTATTTCAGGGTGTTGAATAGCTGAGAAACTGGGAGGAAGACCCCAACAGACCCCACGTAACCCCATGTTCTCTAACTCGGAGTACAGAATACCTGTTTCCCTCCTAGCTGTGTGTCCTGGTGCAGAAGATATAGATCTGATCTTGCTTTTGAGTGTTGTCTTTGCTGTGTTCTGGCCAGCAGGACTCCTCCCTCCACATTAATGAGAGAGGCTTAAACCCCAAAACTGCCCCCACATGCACAGCTGATGTACAGCTGAGGCGCCTGGGAGCTGCCTTCGGCTTCTGTGCTGAAGGGTGAAAGGCAGTTCTAATGTAGACATCATCTCTGTTAAACGGTTTCTTTCTCATTTAATGGACTACCATGGAGATCTAAATGGAGATAAAGTAGCAGGGCTCAGAGAACAGCCAGGATGCTATCTTTATGCAGCATGACAATGTGCAGTGGTTAATTAGACACCGTTAACCTATTTTAGCAGGGGACATAACTGGGATGAATGGGGGGAAATGTCCTTGAAATATTTTAATGTCCACAGCTCATCAGATCTCTAGACACCCTTGCATCCCGCACCGAGCCACAGCCAGGTGCCAGGAGGTCAGCGTGCAAGATCCGAGGCTCTCTTCTGCGCGCCCAGGGAGGTGTGAGGGCGGGCAACGCAGCTAAGGAAAAGGCAAGCAATTACGGTGCCTTTTTAAAACGAACATCGAGGCGGCTGGACGGGAATGCCCGGTCTAGCGTGAGGAGGACGGCAGCCGAGGAAGACAGAGCGCCGGGA